ACACTGACGCTTGCGCCACCAGCCGTGGGGGAAGCCAGGGAGCGCGTCCAGAGGGCCCGCGGCCGCCAGCTCCCTCGCTGGCTTCTAATTAGAACCGCCGCTGCATTCCTGGGCGCAGGAGGAAGCGCCTTCACCCTCGCGCAGCTCTCGTAAAGAAGGGCCCTGTCACCAGCCTCACGCACTGAGAGCTTTGTCCTGTTGGGCCCGCGGGACCGTAGCCTTGCCCCCCACAACACACGTGTGTCACTCCTTTCACCTGAGCCATGTGTGTTCTGTCTAAATGGACCCTAACCTGGTCTTCTCCAGATCAACTCAGGGGGTCCTCTCCCCAGGAGCTACCACTAGGCACTCATCCAAGCAAGAGTGCAGGGCAGCCTGTGGCCCCAGAGGGTAGGGGTGTCATGGAACCCCACTTTGTTTGCACACTCAGTGATTCTCTATTTCCTGAGAAAAAGTGAATCTGGTGGACACAACCTCAGGGCTCCTGGGGACCACCGATTTCCCCTCCTCCTCTCTGCTCCCAGGCCAGCTGGATACCGGAGGGGTGCTGTCTCCCCACAGGGCACACAAGCAGAACAGAGAAGGGCTCATGGAAAGATGGGGGTTACAGCAGGAAAAGCCTCTATCTTCAGCCCCACCTGTCCTGAGCTCCCACAGGTGGCTCCTCTCTTCTCCTGCCCACCGCCCACAAGGGGGCCTGAGGGACCCTCCCTTTATAACTTCTCACCTTCACGCCCAGCCTCCCTAATTGGCTGTTCTGTTTCACCCTTCCTGCCCCAAAGGAAGTTACTATCCCATTCCTTCTCCCCACCCCAGCAGCTCATATATAAAAGTGAAAGTGATGGGGACTTCCTCACCTGAGAAATAGCCAGGAAACAGCCCAAGTCAGGAGTAATTAGGCTTTTGAAGTTGGTGTGGCTCTTGGTGGGAGGGTGGAGGGAGAGGAGGAGGGAAAGGAGCAGCAGCAGCCTGTGGGGACCTGAAGGGCACAGGCTCCTCAGGACCATCTCAGAGTGTTGTTCAATGCCTGAGGCCCAAGGTCCTAAGGTGAAATGGTTCTAAGAGCTGCGGAGCCCTGCAGGAGCATGTGCTCCTGTGTAACAGGTGAAGGTGGGAGCCCAGAGAAGGGAGGGGTCTGGGCACCTGACACCCTTGGCCAGTGCTCCCTCCCCGCACCAGGCTGCATTCCTAAAGAGTCAGAGTTAAGTGGAGGCCTCCTGGGAACACAGAGCTCTGTAGAGAGCGCCCCCCTCCCGTGGGCAAGGTGATCCCTGTTGTGCTTTGGGCGCCTTCCTTCCACTTCCCACCCCCCAGTAGCATAGCCAGGGCCCTGGAGACCATCTGCTGCCTCCATCCTCACCCTCCTGCCCTCCAGGCCAATCCCACACCTTACTTCTCAGAGCTACTGCCCTGATTTCACCTGCACAGGCAGCCTGCCCCCCATTCCCTGTAGGAACCCCCTTCCAGCTGCCTGGCCCCTCACTAGCCCCTGCTGGACTGCAGGCTCCCCGGCACAGAGGCCATGCCTTGGAGCAGATGTCCCCCCAGCTAAGCGGTGCAGTGAGGCTGAGTCCAGCCTGCTCCCACTCTTCGGCCAGCACAGAGGCTGGGATGTGCTCCCTGCCTCTCCCTCCTCTCCAGTCTCTCATCTTCCTCCCCAGACCCCGCTAGGCCCTGCCACACCTGGGCATGTAGGCACCAGCCAAGAGCATGTGTCCAGCCCTCCTGCTCCTTCTAGCCCCCAAAGAAGGCCATCACCTGCCCTCACCTTCTGAAACCTCCTCTGTGGTGGCCCTCCCTCATACTGGCCCCACAGGCTCCTCTCATTCTGAGGGTGAGACAGGCCTCCCTCAGTGGGCCCCACTGTTTATGGGGTGAATATGCGTGTTGCGTTCAGGAGCAGGTGAAGAAGAGTTGTAGAGGCATTGCCCAGGACCCTCAGCCTCACAGCATGGGCAAAGAGGAGGAGAAGGAGGGGGAGGAGAGGAGGAGAAGGGCTGAGCAAGACTCAGCTTCTTAGACAGGCAGGGCCAAGTGGGCAAGATTCCGGACCTGCCCTGCCTCTGTGAGCTGCATCCAATGTGCCTTCCCAGGGTGGCCCTGCCCCCTGTCTCTCTCCAATCCTCTCTCTCTCTCTCTCTCTCTCTCTCTCTCTCTCTTTCTCTCTCTCTCCCCACCTCTGTTGGTCTCTGCACCCCCGAGGCTGGTGATGGTCGTAGCTAGCTTATAAAACTAGAGAAATCCCGCGCCAGCTGACACCCCCAGAGTTGCAGGACCCTGGGGCACTAGGAACAGTGTTCTGCACAGAACCACGAACAGACATCCTTGTCCTGAGGGGCAATGTCAGAAATGGCCACAGATAGAATCTATATGGTCAGAACACTGGCTCATACAACTACCAAGTCTGCTCTCCCTCATCTTGACCCCTCACAAACACACTGACATCTGACCCTCTGACTTAGCCACCCAAACACTCAGGCCTCTATCTGGGGTCTGGGTGTGGCAGCTCCTCCCAGATGGGCTGCCCTCCATTTTGCTGGGCTTGTTATCAATTTTTATGAAGTGGTTTTCTGTTTTATTTGCATAAACTTGCTAGAATCCTTTGTGTCAGGAGAACAGGATGGATACATATAGGAGGAGCAGTCTCAGAGAGGCTGCAAATTATCCTCTTCATGGTGGGTACCCTGTGCAAGTCTCCAGCCTCAGGATGGGAAGTACCTGGTCCTGCCCTGCAGGTGTGGCCAGGACAGAAAGCAGGGCCGGGATGAACCACTTGTCCCTGGAAAGGTCGCTTATACGGAGAGTGTAGTCCACAGGTTGTCCATGAAGAAACAAGAACAGAAATTAAAAATACGTGGGTGGGGCCCTAGCTGGTTTGGCTCAATGGAGAGAGCGTCAGCCTATGGACTGAAAGGTCCCAGGTTCAATTCTGGTCAAGGGCACATGCCTGGGTTATGGGCTCGATCCCCAATAGGGGGCATGCAGGAGGCATCCAATCAATGATTCTCTCTCA